AATGGTATCCAAGCCAATTTGCAATTGTGTTAAATACCCCACCTCCATTGGTCTCCAAACTAACGTGCAGTGGTATCCAAACCTACGTGCAGTGGTCTCCAAACCTACGTGCAGTGGTCTCCAAACCTACGTGCAGTGGTCTCCAAACCTACGTGCAGTGGTCTCCAAACCTACGTGCAGTGGTCTCCAAACCTACGTGCAGTGGTATCCAAACCTACGTGCAGTGGTATCCAAACCTATCCAAAGTCGTAGATACTTTTTCTGGTGATACTGTTGACATCATGTGTTGTTTCAGATCTATGGTGGCTTAGCCTTAGCCAATCTAGGTCACATTGCTATGTTGATTCACTGCCATAGATATATTACCGTTACATGAAGATAAGGGTGACAAGCCATCGTGTTTTAATAATGTGAAGGTCCTAATAGTTGAGTAGAGTTCCCAGGATTGAAGTAGGGACGGACAATTGAAAATCCCCAGCATGAGGAGCTTGAACAACCAGAAGCCGGTCTCTGTCCATCGCTGCTGTATTCTCAAACATTTGTATGGCACCAGTTGGGGTGAAGAGGGTTCCTGAACGCTTCAATAAAATCTATATTAATTCACGAGCTGCAAGTGTTGCTTGGTCCTGTAGACAGTCTTCTAGATTCACTTACGGGTTAACGAAGGCGGACGCGCACCTTAGAGTATAAGGTTAGCCGGGGTATGCGCAGACCAACCCGTTCTCACACTTTCTTATAGTCAATATTGACTTATTAAATAAGTGCATATGTGACATACTAATTTATTGTGAATATTTTAGTTTACCTTGAAAAGCTTCATAGAAAACACCGACCTTACCTAACCTTCTTAGTATGTTAAGATAAGCATCTTAGACATCTTGTAAGAATGTACAAGGCGCCGCGGGCATTCACAACATGCATTCACTGTTCCATCTTCAAGTCACGGCGATGGAACCCAACGTTGCTCCAAGCTCTCTTCCTGTCGATAAAAACGTACTCAAACGTTTTTACAAATGTTAATCTTGCAGATTAACAGCTTCCCTCTCCCTCGTCCCTTTGTTTGGATAAGGACATGCATCAGGCTTGGTGGTTGGTTAAGACAACGTGAGAGCATCGGTAAGCGCAATGGGGGCGTGTCCGTTAGACGCGTGTTGCGTCTTGTTGGTGACAGGGTTCAATACGTCCGGGAGACGTCTTCAGTACGTCAGGGAGACGTCTCCAGCACGCCAGGGAGACGTCTTCAGTACGTCAGGGAGACGTCTTCAGTACGTCAGGGAGACGTCTTCAGTACGTCAGGGAGACGTCTCCAGCACGCCAGGGAGACGTCTCCAGCACGCCAGGGAGACGTCTTCAGCACGCCAGGGAGACGTCTTCAGTACGTCAGGGAAACGTCTCCAGCACGCCAGGGAGACGTCTTCAATACGCCAGGGAGACGTCTTCAGTACTCCAGGGAGACGTCTCCAGCACGCCAGGGAGACGTCTTCAATACGCCAGGGAGACGTCTTCAGTACTCCAGGGAGACGTCTCCAGCACGCCAGGGAGACGTCTTCAGTACGTCAGGGAGACGTCTTCAGTACGTCAGGGAGACGTCTCCAGCACGCCAGGGAGACGTCTTCAGTACGTCAGGGAGACGTCTCCAGCACGCCAGGGAGACGTCTTCAATACGCCAGGGAGACGTCTTCAGTACTCCAGGGAGACGTCTCCAACACGTCAAGGAGACGTCGCTGGCATTCAGTCATCATAAAGTAATCTGTCAGTTCTAAGACGCGGAATTAAGCTGTTGCGGACACAGCGTCTTGCGTCCCCCAGAACCATCTGAATACCTCCTGCGATATTGTCTTCATACCGCACGATTTTACGCTACCCAAAATAACCCCCCTCGCATGTGTTCCATATGTTGACGACCTGTCAGGGGTAAGGATGCCGCTACATCCCGGTAGAGCGACGGCTTCGCTTCTTGCAGGGTCGGCGTTCGATCCCCGATGGTCCAATTGGATGGATAGTGTTCCTTAGCGGTCCAGAGATCACCTGACCGAGACGTCTCGTACCCTGAGGTCACGTGACCCAGAGTCGTGCTCGCCACCGCCATCTTTACAACTCAGCCATTAACCGTTCCATTAGAGAATTTAAATAGTTTTAATTTCACTTTATCTTCCATCATCCATTACTTCCTGCCCACCTCCCCCTTTTATTGCATTCTTTCCTTGTCTTTATACATTCACCCTTTTTGGCCACCCCCCCCCCCCATTCACGTGGGGCTCGTGCCCCCCCCCCTCCCCAGGCGCTAGGCTTGGGGGGGGGGGGGGAGTTAGGCTTGAAGGAGAGGGGTGGGGTGGGGGTTACTATGGCATGGGGAGAGAGGGGGGGTTCGTATGGGGCTGGGGGGAATAGGTTTAATAAGTGGTTGGGAGGGGGGGGGGCATTTTGAAATAAGGGGATGGGTGAATGGGGGGCCTCTGGGGGAATGGGATGTGGATGTGTTCCTGGAGATGGAGAATAGGGGGGAAAGGGGAGGGAGTTTCAAGGGTCGTGGATGGGGGGGGGGGAGACACCTCTTAGCTTCATGGGTTTATAAGGGAGAAAAAAATGGTCCTAATTTTCCGTATAAACATTGATTTTTTTGTTCTTCATTTTTTATTTAAGTACCGGAAGATGTGTTTCATTTGATACACCTCCCGTGTATTGTGTCTTAATGTTAGTCTGTCTGTCTCCCTCTTTCCCTCTCCCTCCCTCCCCTTCTCCCTCACTCTACCTCCCCTCCATCCCTCACTCTCTCCACCTCTACCACCCATTTTCTAAGTCATACTCCTTGAAGGAGGAGGAGGGCAGACTTAAGTCTTCAGAGCCTCGCGTCTCAGAGGGATGACTCCATCTCCCCTTAGACTTAAAGAGGGGATTTAAGTATTCCGGAAAACTAGACTTAACAATTTCCCACGATCTTTGGGGTGAGTGTGTGGGGTGGGAAGCTTACCTCTGGCGATATCTTAGTCAAGCTGGATTACAGGTTGAGGCTGAGGTAAGTGGAGGAGGAGGAGGAGGAGGAGGAGGTATTAGGAGGGGAGGAATGAGTGGGAGGGGGGGGGGGTTCAGGAAGGGAAAGGTAGGCTGTAGATTAAGGAAGGGGAGGTGAAGAGGGTAAGGAGGGGAAATGTGGGCTAGGGAAGGAAAGGGGAGGGACGCTGAGGGCGTGCTGAGGAAGATGTGGTGAAGCTCCCTGTGGTGCTGAGGAAGATGTGAAGCTCCTCCCTGTGGTGCTAAGGAAGAGGTTACGAAGCTCCCTGTGGTGCTAAGGAAGAGGTTACGAAGCTCCCTGTGGTGCTAAGGAAGAGGTTACGAAGCTCCCTGTGGTGCTGAGGAAGAGGTTACGAAGCTCCCTGTGGGGCTGAGGAAGAGGTTACGAAGCTCCCTGTGGGGCTGAGGAAGAGGTTACGAAGCTCCCTGTGGTGCTAAGGAAGAGGTTACGAAGCTCTCTGTGGTGCTAAGGAAGAGGTTACAAAGGTCCCTGTGGGGCTGAGGAAGAGGTTACGAAGCTCTATGTAATTAGTTATCTCTCCCTTTCATAGATTTCAAGTTGCAAACGAATCTTTTTATTTTTATTGTTACAGTAACAAATAAATATTTACCAATCCAACAAACACACATATACAACGAAGATTGTATATGTGGGAAGATTGTATATGTGGGAAGATTGTGTGTAAGTGTGTAAGATTGTGTGTAAGTGTGTAAGATTGTATATGTATATATTGTATATGTATATTGTAAAAAAAATATATTTTTTTTAACGTTGCAAGAGCTGCTTCTGTATATGTAGAAGATTGTGTATATGTGTGTAAGATTGTATATGTATATATTGTATATATACATATCTCTCGGTTGCAGGAGAACTTTGAACTTTAAAATCACATTCTTGAGCTGTTGTTGATTCTAAGCCCAGAAAACTTTACACTAACTTATGCTCTTAAGTTCTTAATAAGCTTAAGCTCTAAGCTAGCTAAGCTCTAAGCTTAAGAAAGCTAACTCAGTACAAACCTTGCAATTGATAATAATCTGAATACTCCTTCTTATTCAACAAAAACAAATGTGTTATGTATTTTATGTATTTGTTATGTATCTTATGTATTATTGTTGTCATTCCATGTTATTGTTTTTGGGAACGGCTAAATTTAGATTTTAGTTGTTTTCAATGATACATAAATTCAATGTATCAATGATACATCAATGATATTATGTTTCAATGATACATCAATGATATTATGTTTCAATGATACATCAATGATATTATGTTTCAATGATACATCAATGATATTATGTTTCAATGATACACCAATGATATTATGTTTCAATGATACATCAATGATATTATGTTTCAATGATACACCAATGATATTATGTTTCAATGATACATCAATGATATTATGTTTCAATGATACATCAATGATATTATGTTTCAATGATACATAAATTCAATGTATCAATGATACATCAATGATATTATGTTTCAATGATACATAAATCATAATTAAAATTCTAAAGTATGCACTTTTCTTTGTATGTTTCCAATTTGTATATTTTTTGCAGTTATTCATTTTATTTCATATACGTGTATATTTAGCATACATTAATTCAGTTCAGACATCGTATGCATGTGTATTTAACATAAATGTATAGATTTTGCAAAGTATATAAATCTGTAAAGAGTTTTTTTTTCGGTGGTTCGTAATGTTTTTTTCACTAAACAATTGGTTACAATTGCCTAACCTAACCTAACATAACCAAACCTCTAACCTAACTTAACCTACCCTAACTCAACCTAACATCACCAAACCTTACCTAACCATACGCAACCTAACCTAACCTAACCTAACCAAACCTAAGGTAACCTAACCTCACCTAGCTCAACCTAACCTAACCTAACTTAACCAAACCTCACCTAACTCAACCTAACCTAACCTACCCTAACCTAACCTTATACCTAACCAATTCTCTTTTGTCTTCGCCAGATGTTGGGCGGAGGAAACTTCTCGACACTGCTGACCCTGGCGGCACTACAGGAGGGCAAGGGCGGCCACGGAGTGCCACTGCCACCCACCCTCGACGCCCACAAGAGCCTCGCCCCCACGCCCACCACCTCCACCTCCACCAGTGAGTACCTCATGGCTTTCTGTCCCGCGGTTGGTCGAGGTCTCTATAGGGGGGAGAACTTGTTACTGCGTCTGTTTGGTTATAACGGGAGACAGGCTGTTACCGGGAGATTGGATTACCGGGAGATTGGATTACCGGGAGATTGGATTACCGGGAGATTGGATTACCGGGAGATTGGATTACCGGGAGATTGGATAACCGGGAGATTGGATTACCGGGAGATTGGGTTACCGGGATATTGGATAACCGGGAGATTGGATTACCGGGAGATTGGATTAACGGGAGATTGGATTACCGGAAGAGTGGATTAAAGGTAGGAAAGGTGTGAGTGCTTGGATATATGTCTCTGGTTCGTCAGACTGTTGTTGGCGGGGTGCGTACGAGGACCAGGAGCTATAGGACAACCTCAGTGTTGGCGCGGTCCTTGCGTTGAGCCGGACCAGGAGCTGGAGCCGGACCAGGAGCTTGAGCCAGACCATCAGCTTGAGACAGACTAGGTGTCGAGCCGGCCTCGGATTCGAGCAAGATTCGGCGACAAATCAGATCGACGTAACTTTAGCATTCAACTAAACTCATCATGAGGTTAAGACTCATCACGAGGCCAGACTCATCACCAAGGCAGACCCGTGTGATCTCAACCCCCTTATTCACGGCGCCATAAACTCACCCCCTCAAAGCAGAATTCTCGGTTACTGTATCACAACATCTGCTTAAGCGCACACAGCCACCATCAACCGCTCTGTGTACTGTATCCATCTTTCTTCTTCCTCCTTCTTACTTGCTTGTAGTGTAATTAATTTAGACCTCTGTACTCCCCCGAAGCAATTAAGAAGATGGGTCTAGACCTTGCCTGGTCTTAAAACTTAAACCCGCCATATGCTCCGTCTCAAATATATTTTTTTAGTGCTATGATCTGCATATTTACGACACTCGGCCGAAGCTGTTTGCATAGGAAGTTCTAGTTTACCAACGTAGCCTCTTTAAGTAGTTTTAGTGTTATGTTCTGCGTTCTTTGGGGGATCTGAACGCGCCTTGTATCGTTCAGGGTTCTCGTTCTTGGGGGAATCTGAACGCGCCTTGTATCGTTCAGGGTTCTCGTTCTTGGGGGAATCTGAACGCACCTTGTACCGTTCGGGGTACTCGTTCTGGGGGAATTTGAACGCGCCTTGTATCGTTCAGGGTTCTCGTTCTTGGGGGAATCTGAACGCACCTTGTATCGTTCAGGGTTCTCGTTCTTGGGGGAATCTGAACGCGCCTTGTATCGTTCAGGGTTCTCGTTCTTGGGGGAATCTGAACGCGCCTTGTATCGTTCAGGGTTCTCGTTCTTGGTGGAATCTGAACGCACCTTGTATCGTTCAGGGTTCTCGTTCTTGGGTGAATCTGAACGCGCCTTGTATCGTTCAGGGTTCTCGTTCTTGGGGGAATCTGAACGCGCCTTGTATCGTTCAGGGTTCTCGTTCTTGGGGGAATCTGATCGCACCTTGTATCGTTCCGGATACAGGTTCTGGAAGACTGAACGCACCGTGTACCGTTCGGGGTACGGGGTACTCTTTCTTGAGGGATCTGAACGCACCTTGTGCCGTTCGGGGTACTCGTTCTGGGGGAATCTGAACGCACCTTGTAAACCTCAAACACTGCTTATGTAGGACAGACGTGAATCCGTGTATTTATATGTGTAGGTTAGATTAGCATTTTAGAAGCACTACAATCACCTTGTGTGGTTGATTGTTCAATAAATCCCTGAACTATATGTTTAACAGGTCTCTCACCCTGTCCATGGAAGCCAGAAGAAAATATACATATGCTGCTAAGCATTGTAAACGTGTAAACAACAAATTTACACATTGTAAATTGTGTAAATTGTGTATGCAAAAAAATCCTCCGGTGCACGCTTTCTTAAGAAATCTGTAGGCCTCTTGTACCATCCAGTACAGACCTACAAAGAATGAGATGCTTTATAAAGCATTCCAATTAACGTATTCACATTAGACGCACTCTAGCATAGTTTACGTTAAAAAAAAAATTCTCCGTTTTCTCCTTTTTTCTCGATTTTTTTTCAGGGATAATATCTTAGCTGCAAATTTGATGTTAGTTAAGGACACCCTCTTGCTACCTTCCCCGACATCTAAGGGTGTGTTGTGTGTGTGGGCGGAACACTCGTGTCATGCCTGTGTTAACCCCTAATTAACATATGCAATGGCCGGCCATTTGCATCAAAGCTCCTCATACATTTTCCGGCTGTTTTATATCGTTTGTCTTCCAAGTCGGCTCGGTGGATGGGGCCCCAGAATCCTACAGCCGGATACATTGCGGATCACGGCTTCATTTGTCGAGGTTCACCCTTTGTGTATGTCATCGCTGGTAGCATAGAAAACGAGGGTGTTTTGTTTACTGTTTTATGGTGACAAGTTTGGTCAGGTAGAGAGACACCTGTTGTGGCTAATTTGGGCCAGATTCACGAAGCAGTTACGCAAGTATTTACGAACCTGGGGCCAGATTCACGAAGCAGTTACGCAAGTATTTACGAACCTGGGGCTAGATTCACGAAGCAGTTACGCAGGTACTTAAGAACCTGGGGCCAGATTCACGAAGCAGTTACGCAAGTATTTACGAACCTGGGGCCAGATTCACGAAGCAGTTACGCAAGCATTTACGAACCTGGGGCCAGATTCACGAAGCAGTTACGCAAGTATTTAAGAACCTGGGGCCAGATTCACGAAGCAGTTACGCAAGCATTTACGAACCTGGGGCCAGATTCACGAAGCAGTTACGCAAGTATTTACGAACCTGGGGCCAGATTCACGAAGCAGTTACGCAAGTACTTACGAACCTGGGGCCAGATTCACGAAGCAGTTACGCAAGTACTTACGAACGTGTACATCTTTCCTCAATCTCTGACGGCTTTGGTTACATTTATTAAACAGTTTACAAGCATGAAAACTTGCCAATTAACTGTTGTTATTGTTATAAACAGCCTCCTGGTGCTTCGGAGCTCATTAACTGTTTAATAATTGGAAACAAAGCCGCCAAAGAGTGAGAAAAGATGTACAAGTTCGTAAGTGCTGGCGTAACTGCTTCGTGAATCTGGGTCTTGTATCGTAGAGCGCAATAAATGAACGTATTCATATCGCCTAATTGTCTCTTGATATCTTGGTCTACGATAACATATCGATTTTGTACATGTAAACCGAATGTATTCATAAATGTACAAGTGACTCATCTGATTAAAAACATTAATTTAAAAAAATGCTAACTTGTGTCTATATAATTTGTGGCTCTATTTAGGAGCCGGACGGCCGAGCGGACAGCACGCTGGACTTGTGATCCTGTGGTCCTGGGTTCGATCCCAGGCGCCGGCGAGAAACAATGGGCAGAGTTTTTTTCACCCTATGCCCCTGTTACCTAGCAGTAAAATAGGTACCTGGGAGTTAGCCAGCTGTCACGGGCTGCTTCCTGGGGGTGGAGGCCTGGTCGAGGACTGGGCCGCGGGGACACTAAAGCCCCGAAATCATCTCAAGATAACCTCAAGATAATAACTCGGAGTCGCACTCTAGTTAAACACAAATTTCAATGTCAACTGAGAGAGAAGTAGCTCCTACGGAACCCCCTAGTTACCGCACTGTGCCGGGGCCCAGTGGTTGAAACACGCTACTTTAAAAATATAATGTAGTACGGTTAGATGGGTTTTTTATTTACTTGTATATCATCAAATATATTTTATCATGAGAAAATCTCTAGTTCGATCCCACCGCCCTGCTCCAAGGGTTGTATCATATGCCTGTCACAGTTGAGAGCATAACATCACATTCGTGTGTGTCTGGAGAGTGCAACATCACATTCGTGTGTGTGTGTGGAGAGTGCAACATCACATTCGTGTGTGTGGGGAGAGTGCAACATCACATTCGTGTGTGTCTGGAGAGTGCAACATCACATTCGTGTGTGTGGAGAGAGTGCAACATCACATTCGTGTGTGTGTCTGGAGAGTGCAACGTCACATTCGTGTGTGTGTCTGGAGAGTGCAACATCACATTCGTGTGTGTGTGTGGAGAGTGCAACATCACATTCGTGTGTGTGGGGAGAGTGCAACATCACATTCGTGTGTGTGGGGAGAGTGCAACATCACATTCGTGTGTGTGTGGAGAGTGCAACATCACATTCGTGTGTGTGAGGAGAGTGCAACATCACTCACGTGAATGTGAAAGTGATACTTGGATGTTGACAAGAACATCAGGCCGCCGGTATCTTTATGTTATGTTTTTATCTATTTGGGACCGTCATTATACCCATCTGGCTGCTGCCTCATCATCATCATCATCCTACACCAGCTGTTGCTGCCTCATCATCATCATCATCCTACACCAGCTGTTGCTGCCTCATCATCATCATCTTCATCCTACACCAGCTGTTGCTGCCTCATCATCATCATTTTCATCCTACACCAGCTGTTGCTGCCTCATCATCATCATCATCCTACAGTCAGCCACAAACTCACATCCTCCACCTCAGCGACCAAAGACAAACAGGTACAGACATATTTATACTTATTAATATATTTCTGCTGCATCTCTTACTCTTTCTTGAGAAATACATATCTTTCTTGAGAAATACATATCTTTCTTGAGAAATACATATCTTTCTTGATAAATACATATCTTTCTTGAGAAATACATATCTTTCTTGATAAATACATATCTTTCTTGAGAAATACATATCTTTCTTGAGAAATACATATCTTTCTTGAGAAATACATATCTTGAGAAATACATATCTTTCTTGAGAAATACATATCTTGAGAAATACATATCTTTCTTGAGAAATACATATCTTTCTTGAGAAATACATATCTTTCTTGAGAAATACATATCTTTCTTGAGAAATACATATCTTTCTTGAGAAATACATATCTTTCTTGATAAATACATATCTTTCTTGAGAAATACATATCTTTCTTGAGAAATACATATCTTTCTTGAGAAATACATATCTTGAGAAATACATAT